ATGCATGCATGGTCTTTTCTCCTTTATTCTCTTGTTATTAATTTATAATTTTGTGGCATTGTGATCTGAGAAGATACTTTGTATAATTTCTATGTTTTTGAATTTGTTGATGCTTGCCTTATGACCTAGAATGTGGTCTATTCTGGAGAATGTTAAAAGGATGGATTTTAACATTAACAAGAGATAAGTGATTCTCAAAGGCTGTTGGTGCTTATAGGTGCTATCAAGTCTACTACCATCACAACAGATTTGATTTTTGCCTTATCCACCATCCTCAGGATGTCTGATATGCACTAGCCAGTCCACCATCATAGCCACTGTGTAAAGCCACCCTGATGAAGGTGTTCCATTTCTTTTTGACTCCTCTCCTTTCCTAATGGGATGTCTTTTACCCACTCTACCCAAATGATAATACGCTCAAAGCATGTATGACGCACTTTACCACCCTTGCTCTCAAATGCACACTGGTTACATTTCTTCCAAGACAGAGTTATTTGTTCTTTTGGCAACTCATAGGTATTTGGTACTCTTCTTGAATACCACAATTCAAAGGCATCAATTCTTTTTCTGTAATCCTTATTCACTGCCCAACTATCAGATGTACAGGAAGCAACTGAAAATACCATAGCTTGGATCAGTCACATCTTAGTGTTTAAACTGACAGCCCTGCTCTTTAGCGCCATCAAGAGGTCCTTGACAGATTTTCCCAGTGCAACACATCTTTTTATTTCTTGACTGCTAGTACCAAGGGTCTTGATTGTGGATATAACTAAAATGAAATTGTTGACAACTTCATTCTTTCTCCATCTACCATGATTGGTCCAGCAGTAAGAATTTAAGTCTTCACTTTATGCAATCAAAGTTGTGTCATTTGCATAATGTTGTTAATGAGTCTTACTCTAATCCTGATGTCCCATTTTAGAGATAGTCCAGATTCCTGGAAAATTTGCTCAGCATACAGATTGAACATGTATAGGGAAAGGATACTTGCTGCACCTATTTTTCTGATTTTAAACAATGCAATAGTCCCTTATTCTGTTTAGACAACCTTGCATGAACACAATTAAGTGGTTTGGGATTACCATTCTTCTCCTCAATTTTAGCCATAATTTGTTATGATTATTACAGTCAAATGCCTTTGTATAATCAATCAATAAAGCCCAAGTAAACATCTTTGTTATTCTCTGCTGTCAGCCAAGATCCACCAGACTTAAGTTATATAAGCCCTTGTCCCACTGTCTCTTCTGAATTCAGCTTGTTTCCGGCAGTTGCCTGTCAATGTACTATTTCAGCCATTTTAAAATAATCTTCGGCAAGATTTTAATTGCATGGGATATTAATGATTGTTGTTATACACCATCAAGTCGCTTGCAACTCACTGCGACCTCCTGAAACATGCTCTATCCTGTACCAACCTTACTTTCTCTGACACACCTACTCTCATTACCCCAGTCATTGTATCAATCCATCTCATCAATGGTCTCCCTCTTTCTCTGCCCCTCTGCCTTTCCAAGGATAATGTCTCTTTCCAAGGACTGGTCTCTCTTTGCCACATGCACAAAGTATGTAGACAAAGCCTCAGAATCCTTGCCTCCAAGGAGCAGCCTGGCTTCCCTCTCTCCAGGACGAACTTGTTTGTTCTCCTGGCAGTCATGGTATATTCAACACTCTTCTCCAGCACCATAGCTCAAAGATGTCAATTCTTGTTTTATAATCCTTAGTCATTGTCCAGCTCTGATGCATAACGAGCAATTGTTCAATATTTTCACAATCTACTGGATCACCTTTATTTTTTTTCTTTTTAGTGGGAACAAATAATGTATCGCTTCCAGTCAGCTGGCCAGACTGTTGTCTTCCAAATTTGTTGGCAGATATTGGTGAGTATGTTTAGGGTTCCATGTCTTTCTTGAAACACCTCAATTTGTATCCTATCATTCCTGGGGCGTTATTTTTTGCCAATGGCTTCAGTGCATCTTGGACTTCTTCCTTCATTACCACTGATTTTTGACTATATGCTACTTGCTAAAAGGTTTAGTTAGTATTGATCAATTAATTTTGATAGTGACTCTGTGCATTCTTCCCATCTTTTGATGCTTTTTATATCATTCAAGATTTTATCCACAGAATTGTTCAGTTTTGCAACTTGAGCTTGAATTTGTTCTTCCATTTTTGAGCTTAAGAAATGTGGAGCATGTTTTTCCCTACTGGTTTTCTAACTCCAAGACTTTACAAGTTTTGTTATAACACTCTGCTTAGTGCAAGTTTCAAAGCCTCTTCTGACCTCCATTTTGGTTTTTTCTTTCTCTCCTGTCTTGTAATGACCTTCTGCTTTCTTCATGGACAATATCCTTCATATCATCCTACCATTCACTTGGTCTTTGGTTTTTAGTATTCACTGCATCAATTTATTCTTGAAGCAGTTTTTAATTTCAGGTGGAATAGATGGGAAATTGTATCTTGGGTCTCATGGACTTGTTTTTATTTTATTCAGTTTCAATTTAAATATACACAGGAGTAATTGACAGTCTGTTCCATAGTCAGTACCCAGTCTGATTCTAATTGCTGACATTGAGCTTCTTCAACTCCTTTAACTCTTTCTGACTTGTGGTTTTTCCATCGGGTGAGGTCCATGTGTATAGTCACTGTTCTACAGAAAATATAGAGAAGAAAATGTGCAACATGAAAAGTCAACTATTCTGTAAACTTTAAAATCACAATTAAAAAAATTAAAAAGGTACATGCAAAGAATAAATGAATGCACAAAATTCTGTCATTTGATATCCAGTATCATTTCTGTAACCAAGTATCTTTTTTCTAACTATCAGTCCTTCTTCTTTTTTTTTTTTTGGGTAGTTGCAGATGTGATTTAATGCTCTGCGCAGAAATACATCACAGCCACTTGAGGAGCATAAAGTCTTTAAGCCACGTTGTGGGGTTCCCTGACGTCCATCTGAGGGCTCCGGCCATTCCAGATGTGGGCACTGAGGTGGGAGCAGCCAGCACCACCAAATACCACAGGAGATGACCGAGGGCAGCTCTATCAATCGTCCTTCTTGAACTTGCCATTGATGTAGGGCACCCAATCCAGGATCAGCCTCCAGTCAGTGGCCCACACCAGCCCCACGGAGCCCACGGCGCCCCACATGCCCACAGTGGGTAGCCAGTACTTGGCCAGCTCCCGATAACGAGGGCCTAGGAACCTGGTCAGCATCATGATGCCGGCGGCACGCTCAGGGTCACCCTGTCACTACGACCTGGACGCAGTACGCAAGCGCAGGAGCCAGTCCTTCTTTATTTCCAACTTTTACATCCAGTCTCCAATTATTATTAATATACTGTGATTGCAATTTTTTTTTTGTGATTGCAATTTTGATCAACTTCAGACTACAAAAGCTGCTGGAAGTTCCCAATTTCTTCATTTTTTTTGGTTTGTGTATTTTTGTTTGTTTGTTTTAATTGTTAATTTTATTTTATTATTTTTTGTGCATGTACCATCAAATCAGATCTGACTGGTACAGGAGGAAATTGTCCATCCTTCTCCGGCAGAGCATCTGGTGGATTCGAACCGTGTACCTTTGGGATTGCAGTACAGCTTCTTGCCACTAGGCCACCAGAGCTCCCCTGTTTGTGTATTTTTGAAAGCTTGTTTTTTAACAAGTCTTGCCTTTTATAGATACAGATAGCATCTTTTTCAATCACGGCACTGTACTCTAAGATAGATATTCTTTTGCACTATGAATGTGACACCATTCCTCTTCAATTTGCCATGTTGTTGTTATTGTTGTTAAGTGCCATCAAATCACAGGCGACTCATAGCGACTCTATGAAGGAGAGTCCTCGATGCTTGGGAGCCTTTCTTCCTCTCTTCAGGTTCACAGGGTTTCCAGAGGCAAGCTATTAAGGAAGTGGATGCCACTCCTTCTTCCAAGCTTGTTTCAATCGGGGAGCTCCACCCCACTCTCTGTCCGCATTGGGTAACCAGCCATTAACGCATCTGGCACATCAGCGTCACAGTGTTCAGCCTCATAGCAGCCACAAGTGGCCGCTGTACGGCAATCAATTTGCCATGTAGGCATAATATATCATAAGACTGCCTAATTTAAAGTAGCCAATTTAAATTTAATTTAAAGTTCACTAAATTTAAAGTAGCCAATTTAAATTTGAAGTTCACTAATGCCTAACATGTTAATGTTTATATGTTCCTCATTTTTTACAACTGTCAGTATCTCTGGATTCATACTTGATACATTCCATGTTCCAATTATTAATGGATGTTTGCAATTATTCTCATTTTGTAGTGTCTTCTAATCTGAGGGATGCTACTTCAGGTACTCTATTTCCCAATATCCCTCTGTTGTTCATATAATTTTCACAGACCTGTTTTTTCAGAAGTGGATGGCCAAGCCTGCTTCTTAGTTTGTCTTAAGTCTGGAAGCTCTGCAGAAAATTGTTCACCGTGGGTGCCCCTGCTAGTATTTGAAATACTGATGGCACAGCTTCCAGTATCACAACTACCTGCAAGTCTCTCCAATAGTGCACACTGACAGACAAGTGCTATATCTATTAGAGCAAACTATAAAGAGCCAAGCATTCCTATGTTGTTCTAGTTATGTACTCTTAGAGTTGAACCTGACTCACAGCTGACCTTCCAGTGGATTTTCAAAGGCAGTAACTGTGTTGGCAGCACATTCCTCACCTCTAAGCCACCAAAGCTCCCCACAACAATAAAACAAGAAACATTACAGCAACATGCATCTCACCCTCCACTGCAGCAAATTAAACAAGATTCTCAAAGAAGCTGAGGAGAAAGGCTCTCTTCTTTGACAGAACATTATTACTTAAGGAGCTTTTTTAAATTTCTGATTTTTGTATTTTTTTTCCTCCTTGATAAACTCTTTCCCTTAGAGTCTGACTTTTGTTTAAGAATCACTGCAGGGAGTCATCGACAATGATGAAATGACCTAAGTTCTTTAACCCTACTCAGTATATACTCTTTTACTGAATATCAAAATGTGATTTGTGGATGAGCTTCTTGCCTCAATGTTTAACAAGTTCACAAAAGTGCTCTCTTTCACTTCTAAATCAAGTCTATAAAATTGAAGGATATTATTAATCCTGACTTTAAGAATTTTTCTACTATTCTAGTGGCATATAATTCCAATTTTCAGTTTCCTCTTGTATTAAACAAGAAAGGTTTTACTTTCTATGTTATATTGTTAACAGATGGGAGGGAAAATCCAAAAAGACAAAATGAAGTACTACCTATAAAATTCCACATGGTAGACACTGAATAGAATATTCTAAAATAGAGAGCCTGCAGGTCTGATGAAGTACAATAAAAAAAGAGAAGTAATTTTTCTTTTCAAATAATTGCCTTAGTCATATTAGCATACCTGTTCCACACCTTCTACTTCTGGAATATAAAACTGTAGCATGTTCTGAATTCCATTTTTCAGGGTAATAATTGAACTGGGACAGCTGGTACAAGAACCTTGAAGCTTCAGCTGTACGATACCATCTTCAAAGCCTTTAAAAATGACGTCTCCTCCGTCTTCCTGCACAGTTGGCCTGTAGTAATAATATATGTAAAAGAGCAGAAGCTTTCATTTAAAACATTTTAGTAAAGTTCAGAAGAAGACTTATGCCAAAGCACAGAGAAATTACCAAAAAATGCTGGACCAACAGATGGTGAGAGGAGATAAGAACATTTCTCCTAGAATGACAAAGCCTTCCCCTAGACCTGGCAATGTGAATTTGAATTTTAGTCTTCTAAACTGCCAAAGTATATATCTATTTGTGTCAAAGGCATCTACTTGCTATGCATCTGAAAGCTAGACAATGAATAAGGATGACAGAAGAAGAATGAATGCTTTTGAGTTGTTGTATTAGAAAAGAGTACTGAATATCACATGGATTGCTGAAAGAATAAAGATATATGTCTTGGACAAAGTATAACCAGGGTGCTGTGCTCCTCAGAGACAAAGGTGATGAAACTTCACTTACATACATCAGGCATTGTGTCTGGAGAAGCCAGTCCTTGGAAAAAGATATCATGTTTTAGAAAGGGGGAAGGTTGGCGAAAAGAAGACCATCAACAAGATGGATTGAAACAGTAACTAACAATGGGCTCTAGTATATCAACAGATCATGAGGATGTCACAAGATAAGGCAAGGTTCAGATCCATTGTTCAGAGAGTCAATATGAGTCATAGTCGACTCAACAGCACTAAACCACTACCACAATAAATACACTATCACAAAAGAAACCAAAAGTATATTGATATCATGAAAAAGGCCACTGCATGAAAAATAGGAAATCTTTATAACATCAAGAAAAAAAGCTGCAGATTCCTGTATTAGACAGAAACCAGAACAGACAACCACTTGCAGCAGAGACGGCATAGAACAAGAGACTGACAGAGCTGCACTAGAACTGCTACTCCACAGAGCTAGAGTCTAGGGCCTGATGTTGGTTTACTGGTGGAGGGATGGGGGAATAGGCATTATAATCGGCAGGACAAAAATAGTTTTGCAACACTGACCCAGAGGTACGAGGCAGAACCTCATGAAGCTGAGGGTCAAGGGGCTTTACAGGTATACTTAAGACACTGTCCTGTCTGAAGAACTGTATCCTTACTTCTTTATCCTGAACTATAACCTGTTACTTCTCTAAGAACTCTATTAATTTTGACCAAAAAGACCAAAAATGGTCTCTGCAGCATTTCATTTCAGGCAGAAATTAGCACATACCTTATTCGAGTGTCTAGTAATTCCTTAATCATTGCCACAACTTCATCATCTTCTTCAGATCCTAAAAACAATCATAAATAATTTCAACTGTAGAAATTTTATATTCGTACAAATATTGTTGTTATGCACTGTTAAGTCAGAACCAATCCCCAGCTAAACATTTAGCAGGTTTTCAGAGGTAGTAAATCATGGGAAAAGACTGTTCATCTTTCTCCCACAGAGAAGCTGGTGAACTGGAACATCCCTTTGGTCTGTAGTGCAACTCCTTACCACTAAGCCATTAGAGTTCCCTTTCATGCAAATGCAAGTATTAAAACAAGAAGATTTTCATCACACAGTTCATTAAAAACATAAATATATAGGAAGCTAATGGCCTAATGGCAAGAAGCTGTGCTGCAATCCGGAAAGCATGTGATTTGAAGCCACCAGCTGCTCTGGGAGAAAAATGGGAAATCTTCTCCCATGAAATTAACTGCTTCTGAAAACCCACCAAAGGGTCAGCTATGGGTCAGTTCTGATTACACGGTACACACAACAACATATGGTGACATGCTGGTATGGAGGAAATGGAAAGAACATTTATTTGAATCTTTTGAAGAAAAATTAAGAGATCACTGATTAAATTAGTATTTGCTAATAAAAATGGGAACACATCAAATCATATTAAGAGTTTTAAAGTTTCAGCCAGTAAATTTGTTTATACTTTCATTATTCTCAAGGACTGAAAATCCAGAGAAAACAGAAATATCTGGATTGTCATGAAAACTTTGTGATAAAAACCACTAATAGTCTCACAAACAACAAACTGGTCTTTTAATAGGGGCACAAACAAACTCACCTCCATTTTTACACAGAAATTGTCTGGACTGTCATTAAAACTTGGAGATAAAAACCTCTAATACTCTCACAACCAAAAAACTGGTCTTGTAATATGAGCACAAACAGACACACCTCAATTTTTACAATAAGTGCACAGTAAACTTTGTATTATTTGGCCAGTTGTTTTAGGTTTGTCATTATTTCAATTTTGATAGATGTAGTTAATTACTCTACTAACACGTTATAACAATTTTAGTTATGTACCCATCAAGAATTACATATAACTATTATTTTTTTTTTACTTTTTAACTGTACGATTAAAATTTTACATAGATGTAATAATTATAATGGTATATACCATCCTGCAATTTCCCTTTTCATTTAACATTTTCTTTTGTATTGTTTAACATTATTTCTAGATCTGGCTCATTGTTTTTAAGTGAAACTGTAGTAAAACAATATTTTCATGAGCATACTTCTTTTATATGTTGTCATGTACACATTTACAAAAATATTTTAGGGTATATATCTAGAAATGCCAGTAGGGACCAATCCTTGGAAAAGGACAAGATTCTTGGAAGGGTGGAGAGTGAGCACAGGAGAGGAAAACCCTGGATGAGATGGATTGACACAGTGACGATGGCAATGGGGGCAGATGTGTCAGAGGCGGTGGGGTTTGCTCAGGATGGCGCAAGGTTCAGAGCTATAGCTCTTAGGGTTGCTGTGAGTCATAATCGACTTGATGGCACATAACAACAATCTAGAGATAAAGTGTATCTTCTGAAAATGACTACATGTGTTATGTGTATAGAGATTCACAGCTACCATAAATATACAGTTTTTACAGTCAACATTTACAGTTATCAATTATCATTGTTTACTGTTGTCAGGTTGGCTCCTAATCACAGCAACCTCAGGCTTAACAAAATGAAATTCTACCCAATATTTCACCATCCTCATAATCTCTGCTGTACTTAAGCCCATCATTGCAATCACTGTGCTCCTTTTTTGTAAGGAAGGTCTTATTCTCTTTTGCTAACTCTATATCGTTTCAAGAATGAAGTATTTCATGAACGCTCAACTGTTTCCAAGGACTGGGCCTTCCTGATAACATGCCTCAAGTATGTGAGATCAAGTCTTACTATCCTTGCTTCTAAGGAATACTTTGGTTGTACTATCTCAAGATATATGTGTTTGTCTTTTCTGAAAGTGCCCAGAATATTCAATATTCTTTGCCTACACCACAATTCAATGGTATCAATTCTCCTTTGATTTTCCTTATTCACGAATTTCCTATAACTTGTAAATGTATATGAAGCAATTGAAAATAACCCTGCTTGAGTCAGGTGTATCTCAATCTTAGCAACCTTAAGTCATAATCGATTTGATGGTACCTAACAACAATAACACTAGAAAAATCCAATGCAATGCCAGTTCCAGGGTCTCTGCTGACATTTATTTTGGTCTTTTCTTTCTCCACTGGCTTTATAATGACATTGTGCTTTTTCATAAAGTCATCACAAAGGGGAAGGAATGCTGAGGTAAAAAAGCTGAGAAGAAGATTTCAAAGGGCAGCTAAGAAGACAAAACAAAATATTTTCATAAAATGTCCCAGGAGTTGGAATTAGAAAACCAAAATGGAAAAACCACACTCAGCACTTGCTTAAACTGAAAAACAACCTGAACAAACTCAAGACTCAAGTTACAACACTGAAGGATCACTGACAAAATTTAGAGTGACAGAGGAAGCATTAAAAGAAGATGGAAGGAATGCACACAGTCCTTTTCTGTTAGTTTCACAACATTCTTAATTAGAAGAGTCTGAAGTAGCCAAGGAAAGTTCTGCAGGTTACTATCATGACCTGTGACCACCTTCTTTATATACAATGGAAGATTTGGCCAGTTTATGCAGCCAAAATAAGTCAAATTGACATGGAAGTCAAGCCCCAGTTTTTGTATTATCTAGAAAAGAACCAAGATCTCATGTGAAGTTAATGATGTGTTGAAAAAATGATGTGATGGGAAATTAATCCTTCTAAAATCCAGGGCACATGCCCAAACAGTTCATGTTTAGGTATACAATAGGCAAAAGGACATTGAGAAATATCACCTAAAACTAAACAAACAAAGAAAAATTCGGAATTACAAGTTCCTTTTGACAAATGAGAAGCCCAGAGAACAAAGGGAACACAGCTATGAGGGTCCAAGAAAGAAAGAGGAAAACAGAAATAGGGCCAGCCGGAACTGCTGCAGCCTTGCATGAACTTTCCATCCCCTCCACCCCATACTTCTGTGTTTGGAACTAGGGGTACTACAACCTTGGGGAAGGGCAACAACTGTCATGACCTTGGAGAACACCTGTGATTACCATGGCATTTCGAGATCCATCTTGAAATACAATGCTGTAAGTGACAGGGTAATATCCATACACATACAAGAAAGACCTGTTAACACCACTATCATTCAAATTTAGGCACCAATAACCAGAGCCAAAGATCAGAAAATAGATGGCCTATACCAACTGTTGCAACCAGAAATCAACCAAACATGCAATCAAGATACATAGTAATAATAGGTGATTGGAATGCAAAAAAGCTGGGAACAAGCAAGAAGGATCAGTAGTATGGAAAAGAGGAACTGGGTTACAGAAATGAGGTTAGAAAATGAATGTGCAATCAAGGATTTATTTATTGCAAATATTTTTTGTAAGAAACACAAATGGCAAACTATACACATGGACTTCACCTGATGGCCTACACAGGAGTCAGATTGACTGTATCTGTGGGAAAAGTCACTAAGCAGCTCAAAATCAGCTCTGAAAACTAGGCCAGGTGCTGACTGTGGAACAGATCATCAACTACTCATGCAAGTTCAAATTAAAGCTAAAGAAAATAAAATCCACAAGAATCAAAATTTGACCTTGAGTTTATCCCTCTTGAATATATAAAGGCCATCTCAGGTACAGGTTTGAGGCTTTGAATACTAAAGAGTGAAAACCATTTGAGCTGTAGGATGACATCAAGGATATCACCCAGGAAGAATGCAAAAGGTCATTACAAAGAGGAGGAAGAAGAAAAGGCCAAAATGGATGTCAAAAGTGACTCTGAATATTGCACTAGAACAAGAAGCCAAATCAAAGGGAAGAAATCAAGATGTTAAGGAGCAGAACATAAAATTTCAGAAGGCAGCACAGGAAGACAAAGCAAAATATAATGATGAAATGTGCAAAGAGTTGGAAAATCAAAGAAAAAAAAAATCAAAATCACTCAACATTTGTTAAGATGAAGGAACTGAAGAACACATTCAAGCTTCAAGTTTTAACACTTAAGGATGCTATGGACAGAATGCTGAATGACCCAGGAAGCATCAAAAGAAAATGAAAGCAGTATACAGAGTCACTATAGCAAAAAGAATTGGCTGACACAGAAGAATTTAATGAAACAACATATGATCAAGAGGCAAGGGTGATGAAGGAGGAAGTTTGATCTGTTCTGTAGGAACTGGGAAAAAAACAAGGCTCCAGGACCTGACAACATACCAATTGACATATTTCATCAAACAGATGCTGCTCTGGACACGTTCACACAGTTGTGCCAATTAATCTGGAGGACAACCACCTGGATCCCGACAAAAGGTAATTCGACAGTGTGGAAATTATCAAGCAATATTACTAGTTTCACATGCAAGCAAGATCCTGCTAAAAATTTTCTGAAAATGACCAGACCAGCACATTGACAGAGAACTGCCAGATATGCAGGCTTGGTTTAGAAGAGGTTGTGATACGAGGGAAATTATAGCCAGTGTTAGATGGATCTTAGCTGAAAGCAGAAATTACCAGAGGAATGTCTATCTGTGTTTCACTGACTATGCAAAGGCATTTGACTGTGTGAATCACAACAAACTGTGGCTGATGTGAGAAGAATGGGAATCCCAGAACACATGATTGTGCTTATGTGAGAGCTATACTTGGACCAGGAGGCAGTTGTCAGAACAAAGCAAGGAAACACTGAATGGTGCAAAATCAGGAAAGGTATAGGCTGGGGATGCATCCTATCTCCATACCTTTTCAACCAATATGCAGAACAGATCGTCAGGGAAGCTGGACTTTATGATGAGGAATGTGACATCAGGATTGGAAGGTGACTCATCAACAACCTGCGTTATACAAATGACACAACCCTGCTTGCTGAAACTGAGGAAGACTTGAGATATTTGCTGCAGAAGGTCAAGGAGTGCAGCCTTCAATATGGATTGAAGCTCAATATCAAGAAAACAAAGATTCTCACCACTGGGCCAATTGGCAGCATCATGACAGTAAAGAGATTAAGATTGTTAACAGCTTTAGTTTGCGTGGCTCCATAATCAACACTCTTGGTACCAGCAGCCAGAAAACCAAAAGATGAATTGCACTGGGAAAGTTTGCTGTCAAGGACCTCTCCAGAATATTGAAGAGCAACAATGTCTGTCTGGAGACTAAGGTGTGCCCCATCCAGTCTTCGCAATTACTTGCTATACATCAGAAAGCTGAACAATGACTAGAGATGATAGAAAGAAAATTGATGCCTTTGAACTGTGGTATGGGAGAAGAGTATTGAATATTCCATGGACTTTAAGGAGAACAAACAAGTTTGTCCTAGAGAGGGCGAAACCAGGTTGCTCCTTGGAGGCAAGGATTCTGAGGCTTCATATGACATACTTTGGGCATGTTGCAAGGAGGTATGAGTCCTTGGAGAGGGACATCATGCTTGGAAGGGTGGAAGGGCAGCAGTGCAAGAAAGGAAGACCCTTGAGATGGATTGACTTAGTGGTGGTGTGTCTGAGACAGTAAGTTTGGCACAGGATAGAGTTCAGGGCTGCTGTACATAGGGGCCACTCTGAATCACAAGTGACTTGATGGACAAAACAACCCCACATTTAACCAGGGCTCTGGTGGCCTAGTGGTTAAAAGCTGCACTGCCATCCTAGAGGCACATGATATGAATCCATTAGCTTTTCTGCAGGAGAAGGATGGGCAATGGCTTCTGAAAACCTGTTGTAGAGAGTCAGGTATGGGTAGGTTCCGACTCACAACAACCCCATACTTAGGACTAGATCTACATTTTTCCAAATGCATCTATTTAAAAATATTATATTCAGTGAAAAAGGTAAATTGTAGTATAACACAAATTATTTAAAGCGTAAGAACAAAAATCAATACTGTATATTTTCTGCAGAGACTTAAAAGTATGTTTTTACAAGGGGATTTTTCAGTCTTAATCTACAAAGGGATTGTCCAGTCTTGTCAAGAAACTGAACAGCTCTAGCTACAGAAACACATCTTCTGGCAAGCAAGAAGCAAGAAAATGTAGGACACCCTTCTTGTTCCAGCTACATGGCTGCAACATGTATGGCCAAACTGGAGACCTTACATGAGATGGGACCTGAGCGGGGGAGAGCCAACACTGGCAGAACTGAGAACTCTGTTGGACAACTAGGGGTGGGAAGCCAATATTGGCAGGACAGAGAACTTGGGAGCACTGACCTAAAGGCTTGAAACTGGGGTGCCTGTGCGCATAGTTCAGGAGCTGTCTTGACTGTATTCTATTATTAATCTAGATTATAACCTTTTGACTTAAAAAAAAAGTACATATGTTTTTAAAAGCATATTAAATAAACCAAAAGCTTCTATTTACCTCTGTGATGGAGGATATGGGATTTTATCTTTGATATTTTACATAAAAATAGGTCTAAAGCAACTAAGGTAAAACATTAACATTTGGTGAATTTGAGTGAAGAGCTGGTAATTTTCTGCATGTTTAAGAAATATCTGATAACCACATTTAGTTTATATGATAGATTCCACTTTTCCACAAAAATTATGGGTATAATTAGTACATATGATGTGTTTTTTCCCACTTTGAAATTGGTCCCAGAGCTATGTAAATTAAATTATAAAATCTGTACTTATGAATTCTGGAACAAAAGCAAATGTGAATAATATAAAAAAGTCTTTTTTAAAAAAGGATAAATAATAATTACCCACCACACAACATGTTACCTGCTTCTCCTGAAGATGTTTCCTCAGTAACTAGAGGTAAGCCAGAAGCAAAGAAGTCCATAATTGTTGCATAAATATCTGGTTTCAGTAAATTCCAGTCTAACTCTTCACTTTCCTATGAATATTTGAAGAAAAACACATTTCTATTTACAGGCATTAATAAATAAAAGCATCTCGTGTCTTTCAAGAAGCATTTTTCTTATCTGCATCCTACTATGCAAGAATACCCATTAAAAGAGAACACATTATCTTTTTACAAAGATAGTGCCGAAAACAAAGAAGAATCCCTTGCCCCTCCCAAAACTGAATTAAAAGCAAAGGCATTAAAGGCCAAGACAGACAGAGAGAAGGGTTATCAAGAGTTACCAAAAAAAAAAAGAAGATCCACACATAACCCACCTTCTGGCAGTCCAAGACACCGAGACTCCAAAGGCAGCCCAAATATCCTCAGAAAAGTACCCTCAGGATAAACAAGTTTGACCACTATGTTATCAGCAAGTTTCTCCTAACAACTAAGTCAACCATGAAGAAGAAAGAAGAACATATTTGTATGTATTGTGGATGTCAGATCAACAAGCCACCAGATCAAACAAGCTGTGAAGCAGCTCTGACATTGATGAGGCCAGGGTCAACACCGTGATTAGGCCTGATGGAGAGAAGAAAGCCTATGTTCAACTTGTTCCTTACTATGATGCTTTGGATCCTAAAAATTCCAGAAAAATTGGGATTATCTAAATTGAGTTAAGCTGGCTAATTCTAAATATAAACATTTCTCACCAAAGGAAAAAAAAGGAATATATGTCAATTCTCAGTTCAGCTCTTCTTGGGTCTGATTATAAGCTTAAAATATTCTTCATTCATTCGTTCACTCACTCATTCATTTGAAACTTTTATTATGTACCAAAGATTCTGTGCAAAGATATAAAAAGAATTTTAAAATATGTTTTCATGATGTGAAGACAGCTGAAATATTGAATGGATGCTCTGTCTTTAAAGAGGATAATAAAGACAGTCCAATTCTCTTGAAGGAACTAGATGAAATATTTATAAAGAATATCTTACAACTACTAAAAAAATTCACCTTATATAATATTAAAGAAACTCAATGGTGCAAGTATAAAACAAAAACAACAGATATACCTTACCTGTGGCTTTTCTATTATACACAGGACTGTAAGAGTCAGAGCTGACTTTTTTTTTTTTAATTATTATTATTACTAAATTTTATTAGTTTCAATGAACATTCACAGGGATTCTGGGCTTTCACTCCTTCATTGCCGCACCATTCTCTCCACCCTCCTCCCCAGTTTGTTCTTCTTCCCTGCCATCCGAATGTCTGTTTTAATTGTCCAATTGCCACAGTGCTTGTCAAAGTCAGTTCTGATTAATCTCCTTTGTCGGTACCACCAAATGTTTTCCTTTGTCTTCCCAGGCAGCATGCCCAATGATATCTTTTGTTCAGCTTTTTTATTTCATTATCTCTTTCCTTTGTATTAGCTTCACTACACTCCAGGCTAATTCTGAGGGTCTCTCCTAGCATCAGGTGAAATCCATGTGTATAGCCTGCATTTATGTTTCTTATAAAACGTATCTACAATGAATAAACTGTGCAAAATTCTATCATTCTATCTCCAGTTTCATTTCTGTCACCAAGGCCATATTTCCCAACTACTGATCCTTTTCCTCTGTTCCCAACTTTTGTATTCCAGTCACCCATTATTATTAATGCATCTTGATGGCATGTTTGATTGATCTCTGACTGTAAAAGTTGGTAGAAATCTTCTATTTCCTCTTCTTTGACTCAGATTGTTGGTGTATATATCTGAATGATAGTAGTATTCACTGGACTTCCTCATATGGATATTATCCTGTCACTCACAAAATTGTATTTCAAGACAGATCTGGAAATGACTTTTTAACTACGAAAGCAACATCACTTTTCCTCACCTTTTCATCTGCAGCATAGTAGATCATCTGACTCAAAATGTCCCATGCCATCTCATCTCGCCAATATCAAGTATGTCAATATTTACATGTTCCATTTCTTCCGTTACAGTAACTATTTTTTCTATATTCATGGTTCTCACATACCATGTTCCAATCACTAGTATCTGCTTACAACTGTTCCTCCTCCTTTGTGTTTCCATTCTTGAGGGCTCCACCTCAGTTGTCCTATCTATTAGACCAAGTGTGTCTATTGTACATAGGATTTTCAAAGGCCTGTTATTTCAGAAGTGGATGGCCAACCCTTCTTCCTGGTCTGTCTTAATTCTGAATGCTCAGATTTAGAACAGTATCTGACAGAAAACATTTTAGAGAAAAGAGCAGATGAAAGATATCTTCCCAATTGTAAAAGTAACCAACAGTTTCAGTGTTGTCCTCACCCTTGACACCTGTGTCTTGACACACCCATTTCCCTGCTCCACCAGCATTCCCTTCTACTCCCATCTATTCCATTCAACACCTATCTCCCACTATCCAGCCCTTGAAATTACAACTTATATCTCAAGCTTTCTGGGCTTAATAACTTTAGATGGATCTTGGCTGAAAACAGGGAGTACCTGAGAAATGTCTGTGTTTCATTGACTATGCAAAGGCATCGGACTGTATGGACCACAACAAACTGGCTAATTCTGAGAAGAATGGGAATCCCAGAACACTGGATCATGTTCATGCAAAACCTATACTTGGACCAGGAAGCAGTCGTCATAATAGAGCAAGGAAACACTGCATGGTTCAAAACTGGGAAAGATGTATGCCAGGAATATGTCTTATCTCTATACCTTTTCAATATTGATACAGAACAGATCATCAGGAAGGCTGGGCTCTATGAGGAGAAATGTGGTATAAGGATTGGAAGAAGACTCATCAATAATATGCGTTATGCAGGTAACACAACCCTGCTTGCTGAAACTGAGAATGACCTGAAGTGCTTGCTGCAGAAGGTTAAGAACTGCAGCCTTCAATACGGATTGAAGATCAATATCAAGAAAATAAAGATTCTTACCACTGGGCCGTTTGGCAGCATTATGATAATGAAGAGATTGAGATTGTTAACAGCTTTTGTTTACTTGGCTCCACAATCAACACTCTTGGTACCAGCAGCCAGGAAATTAAAAGACATATTACATTGGGAAAGTCTACAGTCAGAGACCACTCCAAAGTACTGAAGAGCAATGATGTCACTCTGGAGACTAAGGTGTGTCTGATACAGGCCATGGTCTTTGAAATCACTTGCTATGCATCAGAGAGCTGGACAATGAGTAGGAATGTTAGAAGGAGAATTGATGCCTTTGAGCTGTAGTTTTAGAGAAGAGTATTGAAAATGCCACGACTGCTAAGAGAACAAACAGGTTCGTACTAGTGAGGTTGAAATCATGCTGCTCCTTGGAGGCAAGGATTCTGAAGCTTTGTCTTACATACTTTGCACATGTTGCAAGGAAAAACCAGTTGTTAGAGAGGGACGTCATGCTTGGGAGGATGGAGGGGCAGCGCAGGAGAGGAAGACCCTTGGTGAGATGGATTGATTCAGTGACCGGGATAATGAGAGTAAGTGCATTGGAGACAGTGAGATTGGCACAGAATAGAGCAGGGTTGAGGGCTGTTGTTTATAGGGTTGCTATGAGTCGCAGGTGACTTGATGGCACATAATAACAAAAACAACTTCTGACATCTGCTTTGGTCTTTTCTTTGTTCTATTTTTAATGACCTTTTGCTCTCTTCATGGATGATGTCTTTAATCTCCTCCCACAACTCATCTAGTGTTCAATCAGTGGTGTTCAATGCTTCAAACCTATTCTTAAGATGATTCTTAAACTCCAGTGTGATAGACTCAAGATCTTTATCTTGGTTGTCATGGACTTCTTTCTTCAGCTTCAATTTGAACTTGCACATGAGTAATTGATGATCTGTTCCACAGTGAGCACCTGGTCTAGTGTTGACTGCTGATATTGAGCTTTTCCAACAATTTCTTCCACAGATGTAAACAATTTTATTCCTATGCAGTCCATCTGGTGAAAACCATGTGTACAGTCACTGTTGGTATTTTTTTAAAAAGGTATCTAATTATGAATAAATCTTTGAATGTATAAAATTTAATCATTCTACTGTCTCTCTGGAGACTAAGGTGCGTCTGATACAGGCCATGGTCTTCGCAATCACTTGTTATGCATCAGAGAGTTGGACAATGACCAAGGAGGATAGAAGGAGAGTTGATGCCTTTGAGCTGTGGTGCTGGAGAAGAGTATTGAGAATACCATGGACTGCTAGGAAAACAAACAGATTTGTCCTGGAGAGGGCTAAACCGGGTGGCTCCTAGGAGGCAAGGATTCTGAGGCTCCATCTAACATACTTTGGACATGCTGTGAGGAGAGACAGGTCCTTGGAGAAGGACATCATGCTTGGGAGGGTGGAGGGACAGCACAGGAGAGGAAGGCCCTCTATGAGGTGGATTGATTCAGTGACTGGGATAATTGGGAAGGGAGTGTCAGAGACAGTGCGACTGGCACAGAACAGAGCAGAGTTTAGGGCTGTTGTACATAGGGTCGCTATGAGTCGCAAGTGACTCGACGACGGCACATAATAACAACAAACAACAACGCCGGCTACATTTCTGTCACCATGTCCATACTTTGCAACTACTCTTCCTTTTACATAGTTTCCAACTTTTGTAAGGTGTCTATTTAATCTATGGACTGCCAAGAAAACAAATAGGTCTTTTTTTTTTTTAATGTTATTATTTGTGTGTACCGTCAAATCAGATCTGACTGGTACAGGAGGATATTGTCCCTCCTTCCCCGGCAGAGCATCTGGTGGATTCGAACTGTGCGCCTCTGGGATTGCAGTGTAGCCTCTTACCACTAGGCCACCAGAGCTCCCCAAAAAACAAATAGGTCTGTCTTAAAGAGGGTGAAACCAAGTTTCTCCCTGGAGTCTAGGATTTTTAAGCTCCGTCTCACATACTTTGGGTATGAGGCCAGGAGCAACCGGTCTTTGGAGAAGGACATCATGCTTGGAAGCGTGGAGGGACAGCACAGGAGAGGAAGACTCTGGATGAGATGGATTGATACAATTACTGGGGTGATAGGGGTTGTTGTGTCGGAATTAGTAAGATTGGCTCAGGACAGGGCAGGGTTCAGAGCTGCTGCACACAGGGTTGCGATGGGTTGCAGGTGACTTGATGGCACATTAACTACAACAATTTAATCTATAGGCTGGGCAAATTATTCGAGAAATTGGACTCTATGGAGAAAAATGTGGCATCAGGATTGGAAGAAGACTCATCAATAGCTTTTATTATGCAGATAACACAACCTTGCTTCCTGAAAGTGAGGAGGACTTTAAGCACATGCTGCAAGGTTAAATACTGCAGCCTACAATATAGACTGCATTATCAATGTCAAGAAAACAAAAATCCTTGCCACTGGACCAATAGGCAACATCAAGATGGGCAGAGAAAGGACTGAGACTGTTAATAATTTCATCTTACTTAGATTCACTTAGTACCAGCAATCAGGAGATCAGGAGAGTTACAGCACAGGCAAAGTCTGTAGTTAAGGGACCACTCTAAATTACTGAGAAGTAATGATGTCAGTTTGAGGACAAAAGTATACCTGATTCAGGCCACGGTCTTTTTTTGTTGTTGTTGTTGTAAAAATGTATTTAACATTTGCCAGTTCAACATAGTTTCCCACTGTACAATTTAGTAATACTAATTACATCAATCATGTGCAATCATCACCCATTATCACTGATGAATTTTCCAATAAAAAAGTGTTTTGTTTTGCTATCTAAAATGCTTTACAAGATTCTCTAGAAAAGACAAAATCATCCTGCTGACCTGTTTTGTTATACAATCATTATTCTGAAAAATAAGTCTTGGACTATATTTAAAAAGAAAATCGGCATTACATGAAACTTTTTGTTTTGTTATGATTATGGTAAAGGAAATGGTACTGAAGGCGCTTTTGTTGAAACTATCCATTCTAGCCCTTAGAGATTAAAGCAAGGATAAAGGCACGAAGATGCTAGGAGATGACTGGTCTCTTAATAGCCCAATCAGCCTATGCAAATAACAAATCTGATATAATTAAACCACTCTCTCGATTAGTTTCTCTAAAGCAAAGTCATATCAGTTGTTACATAATATGTGGGTTAGTCAACAGAACTGTCTGTTGATTATCTCTCCCTTGATGACCATGGGGATAGTGTCATTTGTTCTGATGAGCAGTTCTGTGGCTACAGTATTCTGGGTGCATGTCCACAGATACACGGGCATAGCTTGTGTGCCACTAAAAATAACAAAGGTCTCAGGGCTGGAGACGTTGTCAACCACACTGTCATGGCTGTCTATGGTGCCAGGGCTCAATGCTGGGGGGACAATGTTTAATTGACAACCCTGGCAGAAGGACCCTGTGAGTACTTCAGCCTCAAATATGTAGATCAGCGTATCTGTGGAGGCAGTTTTCTTGATCTGGTCTACTAGATATTTTTAGGTTCTTGGTGAAATATATGCCAACTCCATATTTTGGATCACAGGGCTCCGAGTACATTCTCTGAAAGCCATCTCTGTAGACCTCCTGGCAGAACTGCTGCGGGACTCGTTGAAACAGCCTGTGACTCACAGGCTCCCTCTGGGCACTTTCTTCCATCATTTTCTTCTTCACTTGGAAGACAGTGCTCAGAAAATCATTTTTTATCTCCTCCAAGCCACATTTTTCGAACTCTTTCTTTCTATCCCGAAGTGCTGGAGATGAAAACCCTTCACAACATTTCATGTACGGGCCAAATCTCATTTCTTCCAGGAATTTTGGTTGGTGTTCAGCCCATCATCCTAACAACTTCAAAAGATCTTGTTCCTTTTCCATTGCCATTTCCTCCAGGCCACGGTCTTTTCAGTCACTTGTTATGCATCCAAGAGTTGTACAATGACTAAGAATGATAGAAGAACTACTGATACCTTTGAACTATGGAGTTCAAGGAGAGTGTTGAAGAACCCATGGACTACCAAAAGAACAAAAAACTGTACCTTGGAGAAGATGCAGCCAAAGTGTTCCTTGGAAGCAAAGATGATGAAGTTTCATCTCACATATCTTTGGGTATGTTGTTAGGAGAGGTTATTCCTTAGAGAGGGACATCAGGCTTGGGAAGGTGGAGAGGCAGTGAAAGAGAGAACTACAGGAATGGCTTTGAGGGTGGGTGTTAGAAATTGTGAGGATGGCACAGGATAGGGTAGTGGTCAGATTGGTTATTCACAGAGTTGCTATGACTTGTACTCGACTCAATGGCAACTACCAACAAAAACTTAAGGCTACACAGTAAATAAAAAAGGCAGTATGTTTCATTCTTTATTTTTTAAAGGAGAGCACTTTAGGAGGAAAAACTAAGTATTCAACTTAAGTATTCATTAATCTAGTAGACTCATAGACGAACAGTTTTTCTAGTGTGGATTACTGCGATATGTAGCATATTTAGTTTTATATTTTGGCTTAAAAAACTAATTAAGCACCACAGAGCTACACAGTCCATTACTCTTCTCTGTGGAGCTCTGCAGTGTTACTGTAAGTGGTGGAAATATGTCAGGTGTCATGGTGTGAAGTGCCCACTCTTAAAGACAATGCATATTCATTCTATTGGTTAAACATCTCTTTTCCTTTCACATTATCAGTTTAGAATTAGTAAAAATAATGCTCGTTGTTGCTGTGTACCATCGAGTGGTAATGGACACTGTATTTAACTCTGAATCTCAAGTTGTTTTCTTTTTAAAAATTAGGTTCTTGAGTATACTTGATTCCAACTTGAAAATTGTATTAAACAACTGAGAAATGTGAGAAGTAGACATCACTTGAAACGGTTATTAACAACTATGTGTAAAATAATGTAAGAATGAAAATTCTAATCAAGAGGACCAGATGGGGAAAAGAACCCACAACCCTAGAGAATTCATTGATTCTTATTTTATATGATTATGTTTACCTTTGTGACAGTGATGAAATCTGGTCCAAAGAAGACACTTTTTACTCCTTCAATCCTGAATAACTGCCTGTGAAGAAAGAAAATAAAAAAATAAACATTAAAATATTTTATTATAAAAAAGTTTAAACATACACAACAGTAGCAAAAAAAGTAAAAGAACATCTTCCATATACCATGGTGATACCATGTATCACTTGCTTTAACAATTATCAACTCACTGCCAATCTTGTTTTCTTACTCTGTACCACAGTAAGGTCATTCTTATTTATTCATTTACACAAGAGACTAAAGATCTCATGTTCCACAGAGATATGATTTTTTTTTTAAGATCTTTCGTGTGTGTACTGTCAAATCGGATCTGACTGGTACCGAAGGAGATTGTCTCTCCTTCTCCAGCAGAGCATAGGTGGATTCAAACCACATACCTCTGGGATTGCAGTGCAGCTTCTTGCCACTAACCACCAGGGCTCGCTGCCACAGAGATTTTTACATAAATCTCTTATAGCCACTTTAATTTCAATTACAAAAGAACCCCAAAATAATACAAAAACATCCTTAAAAAATTCATCAGTATGAATAATGATTCAACAGACTGTGGTATGTCTATATAATGTATTATTGTTGTTATGTACAGCAGAGTCAGAACCGATCCATCACAGACCCTTTGGTGTGTTTTCAGAGGCAGTTAATGGAACAGGAGGAGATTCTCCATTTTTCTCCCGCACAGAAGCTAGTGGATTAGAACCATGTGCCTTCAGGATTGCAAACACAGCTTCCTGCCACTAGGCCAACTGAGTACCCTTACAATGTATTACTACTCAGCAATAAAATGGAACAGTAGCATAAAACTAAAAATGACTGGCAGAAGTATTATGCCAAGTGAAAGAAGTCAGACTCAAAAGACTGGTTCCATTTACATGAAATTCAAGAAAAGGTAAAACTATTATAACAGTAGTTCAATAGTTACCAGGAAAAGGAGTAAAACCGGAGAAGACTGAACTCAAAGGGATATAAAGGGTCTTTCTAGTATTGCCACTTTTTCTTAAGGTAGTGCTCAAACAACTAATTTTGTCAAAAAGCATTGAATTGTATACTTAAAATTGGTGAGGTTTACTGCATATAAATTATACCTCAACATAGCTAATTTTTAAAAAATCTCCAAGTGAAAGATTTTAATTATTTGAAACAAAGGTTCTAAAATGCAGTTTTCTTTCTCAATTGTTCCTTTGCTTACCACACTTGGTACAGTAACTCAAAGACCATGCCTCTTTGGCAGCTGTATTCCACTAGAAGCTCCAAGGGGGTATGGAGGAACAGGACAGACAGGGTGGGGTGTTGGCAGGGAAGAAGGAAGACGGAAGACAAAGAGCAGAGATAGAAACTCCTGAAGCATTATGCTTTGTTGTTGTCAAGTACAACTTATATCAACCCTATGAGCAGACCTGAATCTTTATCCTAGCCTGTGCCATCCTCATCATTTCAGATATAACTGAGCTCATTGCTACAGTTCCCATGCCAATCCACCTTGTTGAGGGTCTTCCTCTCTTTTGCTGACTCTCCACGTTTCCAAGCATGATATCCCTTTCCAAGGAATAGCCTCTCCCAGAAACATGTGCAAAGTATGAGAGATGGAGCTTCAACATCCTTGCTTCCAAGGAACACTCTGGTTGTACCTTTTCCAAGACATATCTGTTTGTTCTTTTGGCAGTCCATGGGATATTCAGTACTCTTCTCCAACACAACTCAAAGACATCAATTCTTCTGTCATTCACTCTCTAGCTCTCAACAGCATAGCAAATAATTGAAAAGAATATTGCTAGAATCAGGTGCATGTTAGTTTTCAAAATGACATCACTGCTCTTCAGTATTCTCAAGAGGTTCCCGATAGCAGACAGTGCAATATGTGTCCTTATCTGGGAGCTCTGGTGGCCTAGTGGCAAGAAGCTACACTGCAATCCCAGAGGAGCACGGTTCGAATCCACCAGATGCTCTGCCAGGAATCTCCTCCTGTACCCGTCAGATCTGATTTGACGGTACACGCACACACACCAATAATAAAATTTTAAAAAAAATATATGTCCTTATCGCCTAACTGCTCAAGTCCAAGTGTTGATGTGGATTTAAGAAGGATGAAATCACAGACAGTTTCAATCCTTTTTCCACCTATCATGATGTTCCATTATGTTGGCTACTGGCCCAGTGGTAAAGATTTTAACTTATGAAACATTATGCTTTTATTTTATACTGGTTTAATTAAAAAGCTCTTATATATTATTTTTCACACCGGGTCGTTTCCATTTCCTTTAACCATCCCTCCCTCTACCCATCAAATTATATAACCCTATGATTATCCTCTGCCCATCCTCATCACTCTGCTCCTATCCTCCACCCCTTGGATCCTCATACACGTTTTACTAGTAGTTATCCTTCTTTTTATACAATAATGTCTTATACAGTAATTGTCTGTATGGGAATGAGTTTGTTCACTTAGCATAACGCTCTTCAGTCTCTCCCAAGTTAGGTAGTGATTTCCAAAATCATTAGTCCTGCACACTGAGTAGTATTCCATTGTGTGAATGTACTATAATTTCTCAATCTATTTGATTGTGGTTGGACATCTGGGCTATTTCCATGTTCTTGCAACAGTGAATAATGCTGCCATGAACGTTGGTGTACAAATCTCTGTTTGTGTCTCATTTCTAATTTTCTCGGAATAGATTCCAAACAGTGGAATAGCTGGGTCATATAGAATTTCTATGTTCAGCTCTTTTGAGGAAACACCAAACTGCCTTCCAGAGTGGTTACACCATTTTATAATCCCACCAACAGTATCTTCTCCAACATTTACTATTTGCTGTCCTGTTAAACTTTACCTCTGCTAATGAGGAGAGATAGTATCTCACTGTGGTTTTGATTTGCATCTCTCTTATTGCCAGTGATTTTGAGTATTTCCTCATGTGTCTGCTGGCCATCCAAATGTCTTCCTCTGTGAAAAGTCTTCCCATGTCTTGCACAGTTTGTAACTGGGTTATCAGTCTTATTTTTATGGAGGTCTTGCAGGATTCTGTAAATTTCTGATATAAGATTCTTGTCTGAAATGGTATTGCCAAATGTTTTTTACCCCAGTCAACAGGTATTCTTTTAACTCTGTTGGAAAATGTTGCAATCTACATGTTTAAGGCAATCTCAATACAGACAACAAATTTTTTTTTTCAAAGAGATAGAAAAAGGCAATCGACAAGTTTATATGGAGAAAAAAGAGACCTCAAATAAGCAAAGCACTTCTGAAAAACAAGAATGAAGGCATAGCACTCCCTGAGCTCAAAATTTATTATTATTGTTTTTATGTGCCATCGAGTCACCTGTGACCCATAATACAACCCTATGTACAGCAGCTCTGAACCTTTCCCTGTCCGGAGCTGGTCTCACTAATTCCAACACATCAATCCTCATTGCCCAAGTTATTCTATCAATTCATCTCATCCAGGGTCTTCCTCTCCTGGGATGTCCCTCCACCCTTCCAAGCATAATGCCTTTCTCCAAGGACCAGTCTCTTCTGGCCACGTGCCCAAATGAGATGGAGCTTCAAAATCCTAGCCTCCAAGGAGAAACTTGGTTTCACCTTCTCCAAAACAGACCTACTTGTTTTCTTGGAAGTCCATGGTATGTTCAAGACTCTTCTCCAGCACCATACCTCAAAGACATCAATTCTTCTGTCATCCTTAGTCATTGTCCAGCTCTCTGAAGCATAACAAGTAATTATGAAGACCATGACTTGGATTAGGCATACTTGAGTCTCTAGACTGACATCGCTGTTTCTCAGCACTCTGGAGAGGTCCCTGAACACAGATTTTTCCAGTGCAATTTGTCTTTTGATTTCCTGACTGCTGGTGTTAAGAGTGTTAACTATAGAGCCCAGTAAGCTGTAATTGTTAACAATATCAATCTCTTCTCCATCTATCATGGTGCTCCCAGTTGGCCCTGTGGTAAGAAACTGTTTTTTTGATGTTTACCTTCAATCCATATTGAAGACTACAGTTCTTGACCCTCTGAAGCAAATGCTTCAGGTCTTCTTCAGTTGCAGAAAGCAAAGTTGTATCATCTGCATATTGTAGTTTGTTCATGAGTCATCCTCCAATCTTGATACAGCTGTAATAACAAAACCAGTATGGTACTGGTACAATGAAAGGCACACAGACCAATGTACTAGAATTGAGAACCCAGAAATTAACCCAGATATCTATGACATTCGACAAGGAAACAAAACCTATCAAATGGGGAAATGGCAACTTCTTCAACAAAAGGTGCTGGCAAAACTGGACTGTTACCTGCAGAAAGCTAAAATAGGATCCACATCTCCCGCCATACAAAATTATCAACTCAAGGTGGATCAGAGACCAAAACCATAATGATCATAAATGACAAAGTAGAACCAAGCCTAGAAGGCTTAGCTCATGGTATAAAAAGGATGACAAATAAAGCAAAAAATACACAACAAGAAGAGGGGAAAAAATGATAAATGGAACCTTCTAAAGATTAAATCCCTGTGTGCATAAAAACATTTTCCAACAGAGTGAAAAGAAAGCCTACTGACAGAGAAAAAAACATTTGGCAATATTATTTCAGACAAGAGTCTCATAACAAAAGTTTACAAAATCCTTCCAGGGCCCCCACAAGAAAAAGACTGGTAACAATAACAAAATGGGCAAAAGATATGCAAAGACCTTTCACAGAGGAAGACATTTGGATGGCCAACAGACACATGAGGAAATACTCAAATTACCGGCAATAAGAGAAATGCAAATCAAAACCACAATGAGATACCATCTCATCTCAGAAGAAGAGGTAAAGTTTCAAGAACAGCAAGTAATAAATGTTGAGAAGATGTAGAGAGATAGGAACTTTTAATTTTTTTACAATGGCACAGTTTATTGAAACAGAAAGTTAAGGTTTAAAAATAACCATGTATTATATAATTGTAAGTAAAACATTTGTAATTATAATTTTGTATTCAAACATATAAAGGATTTGCTCAAAGTTTTCTAAAACAGGTACATTTCTTCTTTT